TCCTGATTTCCCTGTGTATTTATACCTCCCTCCTTGTGCCAGTCTTTGTCAGATCATTGTTGTTTGTAGTCATCGTTGTTTTGTTCCTGTCATTCCCATTCCACCATTAAAACTATTTTTATTTGTCATCCGTGCCTGCTCTCCTGCCTCCTGAACTCTCCACCACACATGGTCCTTCATCTCCACTCCACCCGCAACATGACAGAATGATCTGACCAACCTGGACCTGTGGTGAGCTTAACATCTGTTTCTGGAGGATTCTTTTTTCTTTTATCCCTTTCAGCTGAGGGAGATTCTGACTTGAGGTTTTTTTTTCGGCGCATCCTACCTGTTTCCGGGGTGGTCGGACCCATTGAGGGGGTTTCGGCGCATCCTATTTGTTCCCGGGGTGGTCAAACCCATTCTCCTCTCCTGCTGTTCTGCCCCGTCCTGTATTTTCACGGAAGCTGCTTTTCCTGGAGTTTTGATGGAGGTAAAACCCCCTACGCACGCCAACATTCTCCGGGGTGGTAGGGCTGGTCTTCCTGCTCCATGTTCTGCTTCCCTTCACCCGAGCCTCTGCCTGTGACCCAGCGAATCGGGATGTGCACCTGCTCAGACCGTATGTCGAGTACCTGCCGCCGAGCTGGGTTTCCTCGCGTCACTTCTGCTGTTTCGTCCCACTTCCTGGTCCACGCCTGCAGGGTCTATGCCTGCAGGTCCTTCATGCTGCAGTCTCTGCTGGGTCCCACGCCTGCTGCTGCAGTTCTCTGCTGGGTCCCACGCAGTTCAAGTGTTCCTGTCCAGTCAAGTGTTCCTGTCCAGTCAAGTGTTCCTGTCCAGTCCAGTCAAGTGTTCCTGTCCAGTCAAGTGTTCCTGTCCAGTCCAGTCAAGTGTTCCTGTCCAGTCCAGTCAAGTGTTCCTGTCCAGTCAAGTGTTCCTGTCCAGTCCAGTCAAGTGTTCCTGTCCAGTCAAGTGCTCCTGTCCAGTCCAGTCAAGTGTTCCTGTCCAGTCCAGTCAAGTGTTCCTGTCCAGTCCAGTCAAGTGTTCCTGTCCAGTCCAGTCAAGTGTTCCTGTCCAGTCCAGTCAAGTGTTCCTGTCCAGTCAAGTCAAGTGTTCCTGTCCAGTCCTCCCGAGTCAAGTGTTCCTGTCCAGTCAAGTGTTCCTGTCCAGTCAAGTGTTCCTGTCCAGTCCAGTCAAGTGTTCCTGTCCAGTCCAGTCAAGTGTTCCTGTCCAGTCAAGTGTTCCTGTCCAGTCCAGTCAAGTGTTCCTGTCCAGTCAAGTGCTCCTGTCCAGTCCAGTCAAGTGTTCCTGTCCAGTCCAGTCAAGTGTTCCTGTCCAGTCCAGTCAAGTGTTCCTGTCCAGTCCAGTCAAGTGTTCCTGTCCAGTCAAGTGTTCCTGTCCAGTCCAGTCAAGTGTTCCTGTCCAGTCCAGTCAAGTGTTCCTGTCCAGTCAAGTGTTCCTGTCCAGTCAAGTGTTCCTGTCCAGTCCAGTCAAGTGTTCCTGTCCAGTCCAGTCAAGTGTTCCTGTCCAGTCAAGTGTTCCTGTCCAGTCAAGTGCTCCTGTCCAGTCCAGTCAAGTGTTCCTGTCCAGTCCAGTCAAGTGTTCCTGTCCAGTCCAGTCAAGTGTTCCTGTCCAGTCAAGTGTTCCTGTCCAGTCCAGTCAAGTGTTCCTGTCCAGTCAAGTGTTCCTGTCCAGTCCAGTCAAGTGTTCCTGTCCAGTCCAGTCAAGTGTTCCTGTCCAGTCAAGTGTTCCTGTCCAGTCAAGTATTCCTGTCCAGTCCAGTCAAGTGTTCCTGTCCAGTCCAGTCAAGTGTTCCTGTCCAGTCCAGTCAAGTGTTCCTGTCCAGTCCAGTCAAGTGTTCCTGTCCAGTCCAGTCAAGTGTTCCTGTCCAGTCCTCCCGAGTCAAGTGTTCCAAGTCTCCTGTGTTGTGTGGCCTTGTGGGCGTCTGGTATCCGCCCCTTAAGGGGGGTGGGGGGAAGTGTACTGTCACGTTCTGCCCCTGCCTTCCTGACTGTGTCTCTCTCCTGCCCTGATTAGCCCTTATTGTTCTCACCTGCCCCTCGTTAACCTGCCCCTCGTTAACCTGCCCATGTGTTCCTGATTTCCCTGTGTATTTATACCTCCCTCCTTGTGCCAGTCTTTGTCAGATCATTGTTGTTTGTAGTCATCGTTGTTTTGTTCCTGTTGTTCCCATTCCACCATTAAAACCATTTTTATTTGTCATCCGTGACTGCTCTCCTGCCTCCTGAACTCTCCACCACACATGGTCCTTCATCTCCACTCCACCCGCAACATGACAGGTACAGAAGACTTTTACATTTTACAACCTTCTAGATGTCTTTAATAGATGTTTCTGTTATAAACTAAGTGAAAAGCAAACAAATGAGACTGATTTTATTTTGATTTTAATGCTTATAAAACAAGCTTTATTTAAGCAGGTGAAAAACCACATGAATAAAACTGAAAGAATTAGCAAAGTAAAACCAGCATCACAGTGAGTCCCATCAGTACTGGGAACACTGGTCTCTCCTGAGTGACTCTGAGACTGGAGACTGGGAGCCCTGGGTGGCCTCACAGGTCACAGAGCCCACCTTCCTCCACTGGTCTGCAGTGAGCCTCAGGGTGCTGCTCCAGCTGTAGAGGCCGTCCTTCATCACCACGGGGCTCCTGTCCTCCTCCCAGCTGCTGCTGCTGCCGTCCACCTTCCAGGACAGACTCCAGTCTGAGGGGAAGCCCTTGTTGGCCAGACACATGAGCGTGGCCTTCCCCTGCTGCAGCTCCTCACTGGAGGGAGGCAGCACCGTCAGGATGGGACGGGTATCACCTAGGAGACACCAATCAGGTTAGAGGACAGGAACTAAACAGCTTTCAGTCAAACAGCAGAAACTCTTCCTAGAAGTGATGCTCTGTGTGAAGAAGTTTCTACCAGATGTGTTTCTGCTCCAACAGTCACTCACTTTGTTTCACTTCCTAACAGAAACCTCTGATGCAGATCAGCTCAGAGAAAATCATCCAGCAGTTTAACTTTTTACATCTGAATCATTTCAGAGTTACAGTAAAAAATAAATCACAAAGGAAATAAGATTAAACATTTAAAAAAGGTCTCTGTACAGAGGGCATTCTGAAACGAGGAATGTATTTAAATATATGTGTTTTTATAATAGACCCAATAATATTAAACTAACTTCTAACCTCCAGTCTGGTTCCTCCAGACGTGACCCACAGTTATACAAACTAACTCAGCTGCTGTTTAGAGACGTTTGACTGTAGAGACACGACTTTCGGTTTTTAATCATCATGATTAGAAAATAAATCATTATAAATAAATGTTTTCTCTTTTTTGGCCTCATTTTAAAATCCTAATACATTTTTTAATGTTGTAAATTTTAATTTCAAAGCAAACTTTGCAGTTTAGTTATTCATATTAATTGTAAAACCTTTAAAAAATAACAAAATTACTTCAAAAGACAACAAATCTCTTTAAATAATGACAATAACAACAACTTAAATGTTAAATTTGAAGGTTTTAACTTACTTCCAAACTCCAGTCTGGTTCCTCCACCAAACGTGTACCACAGTGATACAAACTGGTCGAGTCGTCGTACAAAAACCTCTGAGAGACACGGCTCTGTGAGTCTGACACAAACAAACTCACCAGTTTATACTAAATGAGACTTTTGTCAGCTTAAATTTAATTAACTGTGCTAGTTTTGAATTCCCAACAACACAGTAATACTATTTATCCTGAATGATTAAACATGATGAAAGGTTGTAAAGGTGTTCAAACGTGAAATCATGTAAAAGTAAATATTGAGTAGAGAGAATTTTTGTTTCAGTTCTGATGAATAAATAACAAGCTGACTAGAAAATATTGTAGAAAAGATGAAACATTTGTAAAAATGTACAGAGTCTCAAAAGTGTTGTTACTGGTTTTAATGGAAGTTATTGGTTTCATTTTGAGCTTTTTATACATTAAAAGTAATAATGTTAAAGATACTTTTATGAAGATCTCAGACTTAAATTATGATTCAAAATCGTGATTAAAATGTAGGTGATTTAAAACCATCATCAGCCTGAGACATGATCCTGTTGGAATGAGTCAGCAGATTTCCATAGAGCATGACTTTGCATCAGCAGCACCATGCTCCAGTGCTCTGGGAGAGTTTATAGTCCTGAGAGTTGAAGACTGGATGACTGACAGCTGTCCTTCATCACAACAGAAGACTTGGAAATCCTCCTGATCAAAACCATGACTTTGATCTGCGTCCTCATCTGGACTCTCCTCTGCTGCTGCTTCACAGGTAAAGTCCAGAGAATCCAACTCCTCTCCTCTATGAACATCTGTCCCTCTGGAATGAAGCCCACAAAAGCATCAAGCTGCTTTCTGCTTTTGTCTCCTCAGAGTCCAGAGGTCAGGTCACAGTGACTCAGTCTGCAGCAGTGAGCTCTGCTGTGGGACGCTCCGTCTCCATCTCATGTAGGACCAGTCAGGAAGTAAATGGCAACTATTTATCCTGGTACCAACAGAAAGATGGACAACCTCCTAAACTCCTCATTTATTATGCTGACACCCATGATTTAGGAATCTCAGATCGTTTTTCAGGCAGTGGATCTGGATCTGACTTCACTCTGACCATCAGTGGAGTTCAGGCTGAAGATGCTGCAGTTTATTACTGTCAGAGTTTTCATTATATAAACAGCCAGCGTCTGTTCACACAGTGAAAACCCGTCGTACAAAAACCTCCCTCAGTCAGGCTGAACAGAAACTAACAGCCGGAAGCTTCAGCAGTTCACTGATGACATAAACACGTGTAGCAACACTTTCATCCTTCAAAACACTAAATATGATATTTCATCTTAATATAAAATAATTACATGTGCTGAATTCAATAAACCATTTAGATTTTACAGAGTTGATGATTTTTTGTTAAATGAAAGAAAAAACTTAACATACAAATAAATAACTGAAAAGAATGAAATTAGCGGACATTAAAAAAACTCAACCATTTGTGTTTCAGGAAGACTAGAAGAAAATGAATAAAATCCAGTCACTTTTTAAAAAATGTCAAAAATTAGAGTCTGTTTAATTTATAAAGTCTTACACTCCCTTGCTCCACCACCACTACTAAGGCAGTTCATTAGGGATAAAGAAAGCTCAAACAGGACTACATGAGCTACAATTCGAGGAGAAATGTTAAACCACATAGACAGACAGCTTTTGGGCAGAACGTCCTCTCTGTCAAGGGTGGCCATCGGTGGAACAGTCTTCCTCAACCCATTAGGGAATGCTCGACTTTCAATTTGTTTAAGGCAAAGGTTAAAAACTGGTTATGGGCAAATCAAGTGTGTGATCATGTATGAGTTGTATGGTTTTAATGTTTTATTTGGGAATAGAATGGTGATCATGTATGAGTTGTATAGTTTTAATGTTTTATTTGTGAATAGAATGGTGTGTATGTGTTAGTTTGGTGATGAAGTTTTTATTATGAATGAATGATGAATTTTTATGAGTTATTATGTCTTTTTATGTCTAAGGACAACAGCTGTAAATTAGCCTTTGGCTATAATCTGGCATGTTTACAATCATGTAAGCTGCTTTTACATTTATGTTCATTAACATAAACTGTCCTAAATAAATAAATAAATTATTGCAAAGAAGATTTGAAGATTTATCATGAATCTGATCCTAATTAGATGAGACATGAATAATGTTCTGTTTTACATCATTTCACTCTTTTGTGCAAATAAAACTCTGCATAACAATCTATTTAAAAAGAAACTGATTAATTTTCATAAACAAGTATCAAAGTCTAGATTCTCATCATAGAGGAGGAAACATGGAGACAGCTGGTGATCAGCTGACTGACTAAAATGTTGTGTTTGATCATTTTCCAATGAGAATTTTCTTCAGAAATTCATTTTATCCCATTTCTTTTTCCTCCTTCATACAAAAAGCAGGTCACAGACGTAGAAATATGACACGTAGAGCTGATGATGAGCCGACTGACTGTGTGTGTTTGCATATGTGTCCTGCCTCTCTGCTCCCAGCTGTTAAGAGGTCAGTGTTGATCAGTGGCTGTCCAGGTCTTTCAGAGACTCCGACACACCGGCAGCACAATGATGATGTCACTGACTCTACTGCTGACCACCCTGGGGCTCCTTGTTCACGGTGAGACTCTCTGATGAAAACTTGGTTTCAGGATGGAAACAGGTTCACTACAATGATGATCTTAAATAACACTTTATGTTGGGTAATTTTATATTACTTCCATATTACCTCAAAGAAAGTCAAAGCACACACAGAGGGATTAGATTGATAATTTGGTAAATTGTAATCAGACAACCTGAAAACCACAAGAATGCTTTGCAAAGGGTGAGAGAATCACTACACACCAGACGAAAGGCAGTTTGCTTCTCACACCGAGCCTGAAGCTGTGGAGCGCATTTATTTACAAGAACACACCCACACACCAAAGAGACAAAACCCCCATAAATTCCTCAAAAAAAACCCTCTTTGCCTTAGGAATCCACAGAAGACAAAAGGGATTCTCCAGATAATAGATCAATGAGTGTCTTGGTCCGGTAGGAGGTGTTCCTGCAAAAGAGACTAACAAAAGTACCTGAAACAAAAGGAGTTCCTGCAAACATTTAAATGTAAATAAGGATGGGGTGAACTCCAAACATTTAAATGTAAATAAGGATGGGGCGAACTCCAATCATTTAAATGTAAATAGGGTGGGGTAACTCTGTTTGATAATCAGTTTTTACCTATCAATCCCCCCTGTTCAAACGGCGTTCACCTTAAATGATTATAACAATGAAGGATAATAAAATCTGAGTTGATAACAAGAACATCAAACAACAATGGTTACAGAAATCGTAATTTACATTGTTGCAATCATAATGAAACCAACTTTATCAGGCAATATATTCATCTTATGCAAACTCCTCTTTTTGTCTCAGGAGAGTACATTGAACCAAGGCATTCTTCATCAGTTTGCTTACCATATTTTTCAAACACGGAAGCACACAACCTAAAATTAAGCAAATCATGACCAGGATAACAATAACAGGTGTAAGAAACTTTAACAAGAGCTGATACCAGTTACCAGATACCAGCTAACTCATAAAACTCCAGGATCCGCCAGTCGATTCGTTGGATTTCAGGAAGTCTCCGATTTGTCTAACACGGTCGTGAATCAGAGTCCAGTTGTCATGTGATGAAGGGAGATAGGTGCAGCAGTGTTCACCATTTTTTGTGCAGAGGCCACCTTCTGAGGCAAACAGAATGTCTAGGGCAGCGGTTCCCAAACTTATTTAGCCACGCACCCCCTTCTATGTCCCGACCATGTCGACCCCCCCCCCCCCCAGCCCCCACATCAGGGCATGGCTATATATATATATATATATATATATATATATATATATATATATATATATATATATATCAGACGTCAAGCTAAACAGACAGGGTTAAAGAAATATGATCAACCTTTTCCCCATCACTTTCATTTTTTAAATAGTAATTAATAAACATTCGATACCATTACAATTTCCTTTGATTTAATTTTAAATAAATATTTAGAGTGCCCAGGTAGCACATAAACAATGCAATTTAACAGTTTTCTTAAAGTAGGAACGTTTAACCTGTGCGGCCAGAGTGCTCTCCTTCCTTCTGTTCTGCGTAAACCTGAGCTGGTCACCTACTTGTGCGTAATCAAATGTCTATAGGGGACAAGCTATAGCCATGATGTTCACTTTTGCCTCAGACAGACTTATTGCTGTTTTATGGTGTGGCTGAATCTGCGATCCGTTGCCATGCAGACAGGAATAACAAATGCTGCAGTAACATGAGTTGTGGTCAGGTTCGGAGTCACTGGCTGGAGCGGACCCGACTTTAATACATCATCCCAAAATAGAAGCTAACATCTTAATTTGACCTGGAATGAAAAATGTTATAAAACCTCTTAAAAGTTTTTATCATGGAGGAGGCAGCGCTCATTTCTGTCTTCAGTCTGACGGCGCGCCAGAGTTTACGCAGCGTGCGCGCTTATTGAATATGTGTGTGTGTGTGTGTGTGTGTGTGCACGCGGCACAGCTCCATGAGCAGCTCCAGTCACCGTGTCTCGTTATTGGCGCTATTTAAACCAATGTTGTAAAATGACTTCTGCCCAGCCCAGATGTGCTCACTTGTGCACCCGTGAGCCGTGGTTCTGCTGGAACACGTCTGACCTCTGACAGACGCACTCTGAACTTCAGATCTTCAGCGCGCTGTTAATAGCCTGAATGGGAATCATTTCTTGATTTATTTAGTTACATCCACAATGTTCTGTGTGTGAGGTTTACAATCTCAGAACACCTGCATGAGACAGGTGTTAATTACAATCTGCCAGAATGACTCACCACCTTCAGATTTCTCCAACACCGTTAAAAATGATCAAATACGGAACATATCGGCGTGCGCAGGCCAGAGTGCTGAAGCTCGGCGCATTGTTATTATGAAGTTAGGACGCATGTGGAGGACACATACACACACACTCGCCCAAAAATATACTTGTTTTCAATTACATTTATTGTGCCCACTTACTTTTTGTTAAGCCCACCCACAAATGAGTTTCTGGCTATGCTAATGGTGACATTTGACAGACTTCTCTGAGCTCTGCAGCCATTACACTTTTCACCTCGCGCACCCCCTAGCGGCAGCTCGTACACTCCCGGGGATGCGCACACCACACTTTGGGAATCCCTGGTCTAGGGCAAGTTGGTGCTGCATCAACATAGTTCTCATTGCTTGTTGCTCGGGGTTGTCAGCCAGGAATGAGGTCATGTCAGAGAGTACAGTGGTGATTTTTTCAAGAGTCCACCATACTTCATTGATCCGTTTCATCAGGCTGGCAGTTCCTAGCTGGGGAAAGAGAATGTAGAGGATTCCTTTGGAGTCATCGTAGAGGGGCCTGTGGCCGTCGTTGTTGGAGAAAGGGCGGAAGACTTTAACAGGTTTAAATTCCCTCTTATTTCTGTCCAGCTCTGGTGTCCTCGTAAGGACGGCCCCTTCCTCGGTGATAACATATGAGGAGGGTTGCAGTCGAGCCAAGCTGCAGGTGCCACACCAGTCACGTGGCAGGTACAGATAGAGAGAGCTTCCACACTTCCAGATGTATCCTTCAGGGATCCCCATTCCCATGATTGAGGGGACTTCTAGAAAATGTTCATGTGACTCCCATGGTGTGTAGTAGGGTCTTCCAGTCATTACAAGGCATAACAAGGTCACATTTATGGTAATGTAACCAGGGGCATTAATCCAAAGTGTTAACCAATGTTTCTTTGTGCGAGATCTCACAGCCCGTCCGTCTCCTGAGAGTGTCATCACAGGTGGATCTGCCCAACCGGGTCATGGAGTTTGAGCAGGAGACGGAGATGCAGAATGGGTCTTTACCTGTGAGACGGAGGAGATGCAATCCTTTGGAGATGGAGGAGTTGGTTGATGCAGAGTAGTTGGTGGGGCGTGTCCAGCGTCTCTTTTGATGCTGAGGTGAGCAGCAGTGGGGAATGGTGCACACCCGTAACTCAAATGCTTGGCGGGTGTGGGCGTGCAGTTGACATATGGTGTCATTCAGTGAGGCGGGGATAGCTGTCATCGTGGGATTTTCCATTGAATGATGGGGGATCCAGGAGCAGATATAGCAACTGTTATTAAATCCTAGTCTTTTGGCGGTTAGATT